AATTCCCTGTTTCCTACTCAAAATGCAGCTTCCTGGGCCCTGCCCCAATCCACTGACCCAGATTTCCAGGAGCCAGGGCCCAGGAATCTGCATTTTAAACCATACCCCCCCCCCAGGTGACTAGGCTGTCACAGGTGTCAGTAAATGGGAGGCAGATCTAATTTCATCGTGTTGGTCCCACTGGGTATGCCAGGCCCCTGGAAGGGTCCTGGTGAAACAGAAGAGCACGGGTGTGCAGAACAAACATTCCCTGGGTGTCTTGGCATAGTCGGGAATGGCTGGGTTGAGAGAAATTTTGATCCACGTAGAGATGTGCGAATGGCTTATTGGGAAGATCCAGGGGAGACCCTGTGAAATCCAAAGGCAGGAGGTTCAGCCGGGCTTTGGGGCACCAGACGGTCTCTCTCTCAGGCCGCCTCACACCTGAGTCTGTTCCTCCCAATCCGAAGTTCCCAGGACCCTGCCTGGCTCAGCTTGCGTCTGAGACCAACTCCTGCCCCACAACCATAGTCAGGGAGGGAAGAATCGCGGGAGCTCAGGGGCAGGGGAGGCAGTGGTTGGCATCTCAGTGCCAAGCCCGGGGTGGGGGGGGCCGGTGCACTGACACCAGAGCTGGTCCCCAAGGAGTTGCAGTCTGGAAGGCCTGCGTGCTCTGCCTGGGATCTCAGCCCCACAGCCAGAGAAATGACCACAGTTCCCCCGGACATTGAAGGGAGTGCAGTGGCGGCAGCCCCAGCCCCCAAGTGCTTCCAGAGCTGCTCCTGGTAAGAACAGCTGTGGCCGTGGCCCCAGGCGCGATCAGAGCAAGCCGGCTCTGACCCGTCAGGAGCAGGCAGCCATTCTGATGAAACCCTAAGTAAAAAAGCGGTTCGTGGGCCCACCTTTTAAAAAGTCTTCATCAGAAAATGCAAATCTGGGAGTTGGGCTTCATTAAGCAGTTTATCATTTTACTGCTCTTGAAGAGTTTCATTTTATATGCTGCGATTTTAGAAATTGGGACAGGTAGTCGGAACTTTTCGATAACCAAGTTTGCGTTAAGGTGAGGCAAGGTATCTGGGGAGGGGTTGGGGGGAGTGGACAGTTGGGACAAAACAGCCCCTCTTAGAACGTAAGGTGCAGTGCTATTCTTTCAATATTTGTTCGCTCAGAAGAGTAGATGGAAAGCTTCCAAGGAAAGGATGTCCCAGGGAATACCATCCAGCACTAGCCTTCACCCCACTGAGCTGACAACAGCCCTACATTTGGTCACCTAGAGCCATGCTCCTTAGAGGGAACAGCTACAGTCACTCGAACTTACCTATTAGGAAGCCTCTGGCTACAAAGAAAAAAAAAAAGTCCCCCTCAAAGCTTTAAACAGGGACATTTATTACCTCAAATAACGAGATGTCCAGGGGTAGGGCAGTCTCCTTGTCCATTGACTTGTCAGTTCAAGGATATCTTCAAATGTGTACAAAACCCAGCAGGGCATATTTTCCTTAGCGTGGCCTACTTCGTGATCACAAGATGGCTGCCACAGCTCCAGGCATCAGACATAACTTACCCCCAGAGAGCAATGAAGAGCTCTTCATTGTGTCTCTTTTCAGAAGCAAGAAGACCCTTCTACTCACATATCATTGGCTGAAATTTGGTCACACAGCCATTCTTTAGCAGCTAAAGTTGATCCCTGAAAGTCAAGTGGGAGCAGCACGACTAACCATTTAGGGTAGATGGATGTGGGTAACCAGCCCATAGCTTCTGGCCTGGTTGCCCTCTTTGAGGTTCTCACCCCTACCCCAAGTGGCTTCTCAGAATATCCCTCTGAATATATACAATATGCCCCAAACACTGTTTGGGTAAGGACAATTTCCTCTACTTTGTCATGCTTCTGGGATGTTTTAGTCATCCTTACACACGTGCCCCAAACATCCCCCCTCAGTCAGGCGGAAACACTGACATATGAGCAGGTGGATGCACACCACTCCGGTATTGACCGACTTGTCTCCCCTCCCCCTTTCAGGGGGTTGCAAGGAAACATTCCAGCCCTGAAAAGCCTGGCAAGTGAGGGCACCCTTGTGACCACCACCACCCCCACACACACCACCCCCGTCTCTCTCCTGCTACTTCTTCCAACCTATACCCCAGGCCCTGCAGAGGTTGTGGTCACAAATACCACAGGCAGCACCCTGACTCAGCCTGTGTGGGGAACCACTTCCCCAGCTCCCATGTCAAGCTGTGGTCCCAGGAGAGGTGGGAGTAATTACTCAGCATACACTGAATGCTCACACTGGCATGATTCCCTGACCTTGATACTTTTCATTTCTTATTCTTGAACTTGTTCTGTGGACTGAGGATGGTAGATTGCTCATCCTAAGCCACATCTTCCTGAGTGTGCATGATTTTTCCCAGCTGGCTAGGGAGACATGTGACTCAAGTTCTGAATCCACATTAGGAAGACCTAGGGCCTGGTCCGTCATGTTGGGTGACCTTGGGCCAGCCCCTCCCCATCTGTGAATCCCCCATTAGCCCAGCAAACAAGCTCTGATGAGTCTAAGATACACAGCATGAGCACCACCACCATCTCCCCTGTGCTCATAGCAGACATCACTAATCAATCACAGGCTCTTTCTCTCTGAACCAGCACTGATGCCAGAATTGTCCTCACTCCAGGCCCCCAGGCAACCACCGTGAACTGATCTGTGAGAATAGGCAGGTTTTTGGACAGAGCTTTCCATCTGCCATCCCTGATGTCCCTCCCGACTGTCAGGCCCTCAGCCCAAAGTTTCCTTTTAAAGCTTCACCTTTCCCCCTGCCTCCTCTCCCCTCTGAAAAGGAACTTTGCAACTCCATCCCCCCTGGTATTCCTCTGGAAGGCTCTGCCCTTCTTCCCATAAGATTCTAGGCATTTACGTCCCTGCTCTGACATTTCTCAGCTCTGAGAACTTAGCAGCTTTCTTAACCTGAGTCTCAGTTCCCTCGTCTGTAAAATGGAGCTGTTATCTGCCATAAGAGGTTGAGAATGTGCCTGGCAGAGCATCAGCCATGGGCACTCAGCATACACTAGTCACTTCTCCTGTAGGGTCTGCTCTGCAATGAAGGATTTTGATGGGGGAAAATGACACAATCATCAGCCATCACTTGACAAATTTTTTTATTTTAGCCTTTGCATCCCCCTCCCAGGCTGCCTGATATCTCTGTCCCCACCCAACTCTGGAGGCAGCCTGACCCCATCGTGTGCTTTTTTGGGGGGTGGGGCCTTAAGGGGGGCAGTGGTAGGCACTGTACCTTTATAGAGCTTGTAAACCTGCACCAGGATGGGGGCCGAAACCTCACCCCACCAGCTGGGTCTGGCCAGGACATGGGCTCTGGGCAGATCCTAACATCCCTGGAGACCCAGAGCCTATGGAGGAGAGCAGCCATCCCCAGCCCCTCCATTTAGGACTTGGAAAGGAGGGGAGTGGGAAGCGTACAAAGACCCCAGGGGCACCTGTCAGGAGAAGAGGACTTGCTGGGAAGAAGGTAGAGACCCAGGTGAGATTCTTGAGGTGCCTTTGTCTTCAGCCAAGGCTCCTGACCCTCTCCCTGGGGGCAGTGCCAACCCTCAGCCAAGCCCAGAGCTGGGGCACCTCACCCCCTCCCACCAGCTAACAAGAAACAAAAGCAGTGAAAACACCAAGCTCTGTTGCCAGGGGGGAAAACACCTTAAGTATTAAAAATTAAATTAAAACTGTAGCCCCAGTCAACTGAGCCAGCAGTGAGCTGGTGATTGCAGACACACACAGACACCCCCCATTCTTCCCCGAGCCCCAGGGTCTCCAAAGACAGCAGGAAGGGGCCTCAGGACCAAGTCCCACTGTCACCAAGGGGAACCCTCTGGGGAAATACAGGTTGGGGCATATGTGTCCTCAGGTGGTCCCCAGTGTGGGGCACTGAGAACTGTAAACATAACCCAGCTTGAGGGTCGGGGGTGTCCCAGCCCCCCGAGATTCTCCCTGGATGAAGAATGGCCACTGTGGTGAGTGAGTACAGTAAAACAGCAGTCGGTCTTGAAGCAAAGCAAGACCTGGTCTCCCCATCCGAATACTCGGGGGGAAGGTGGGCTGAGACTGTGACGGAGGGAGGGGGTTCCAGAAGCCAAACACAGCTTGGCAGCTGTTCCTCTGCAGTACCAGATCAGCACCCAGGCCCTCTCTGGGGGGGTGAGTCAGCTCCCAGCTACCCATCGCTGGGGAACCCGGCTAGAAAGTCAGCTCAGGCCACAGCTGCCCAGCTCAGGACTGGCACAAGGTCAGGCGAGCTCCTGAGAGGCCCCAGCCCAGGCTGGGGCAGAAGATCCGCTCCAGCAGGAGACTGAAGGAAGTGGTTAAGGAGTGTTGGGAGGGCATTGTGAGAACCACCACAGGGACACAGACATGGCCCAAACCAGAGGGCCACTACTGTGCCTGCAGTACCTTCTCAAGGCCTGGCTGAGGCCCAGGGCAAAGTCCCGCCTCCGCCCCACTCCAAGCCAAGAGCCCTTGGGACCAGGCAATCTCACCATACGGGTCACGCATTAAAACCTGCGCCTGCACCGCCTTCTGTACCTGCTTCTGGAGCCAGGCAGGCGGCCTGGAGCCAGGCCCCGGAGCACAAGGTCAAGCCCAGGTGTGGTGCCCCACAGCCAAGGCTTCTGTCTGTCCAAGTCCAGGTCCAGTCCAAGAGGCCAGGAGGACCAGGGCTGAGCCGGCATTGCCTTTCAGGCCCCAGATCCTCCCGTGGTCGCAGTCCCCCCGGCGGGGACCCGTTACCGGCAACAGGCCTTTGCTGGGTGACTCCCGCGGGGCGTGGGGCCCGAGTTCCCTGGATACCAGGCCTCCGGCTTCTTGAGGCTCACCCCGACTTCCCTCAGGACCGGGCCGCCCCACCCCCACCCCTCCGTCTGGGAGGGGGCTGTCAGGGCGAGGCCCGGGGCTGCGGTCCCTCCAGAACCAGGGCCCACCCCAAACCCGGGGCGAGCTCAGGGCTGGCCCGCCCCGCTCGGCTCTTCAGGGCTGGGCCCGGCTCCGGCTCCCGAGCCACTGGCTCCTCAGCGCCCTCACCTCCTGCCCGTACCACTCGTGCAGCCGGGCGAAGGAGCCGGCGTGCGGAGGCCCGTTGGGCGCCCAGGCCCGCCGCCGGGGAG